GTGCCGAATCGGAGGGTTTCACGCACGCTAAGCCCAGTGTGCTGCATGCTTAGGCTCGAATCTGCTTCAATCCAGACTACATACGTTTTAGCACTGCACAAGTTCTGTGCTCACTCTAATGTGGCTGACAACTCAATAATACTTTAAAATCATTATTAGCCCAGCCTAATAGCCTAACACTGCATTTACACTGTCATCTGCCTATGGACAAATAAACTGCGCATGCTATTCTGACTTGGGTGTCTAAAACAGTTTTATTCATGAACATTTAGATATCTGGAGTCATGCGTCATTCTGCAGTTGCCGTTACGCCCATATTATGAACTCCGATTCTAAGCTGTTTTCCTCTGTGGAGATTCATTACTATTATGTGCTGTGGGAAGACAGAATGTTCCGGACCCGGTACATTTGTCCTGTATACCTAAAAGAAAACATGGAACAAGAGGGTCTGACTGTGTGCAGAGAACTAATTATTTCAGCAGCTTAGTACACAATTGATAAATAATGAGCTCTTGTTTTTTTTTTTGCGTCATGTTAAGTCTTTTTAGAGCTGCAATGCGCTCGTGGCATCTCGATCGTTTAGTGTGAGGTGGTCAGGACGGCCGTCTTAGGTCAGTCTTTTTCTCATCTTGATGCAACAACAAAATCAACCGTGTTTCATATTATCGTAAGTTTTAAGTCTTGGCTCATGCAAATAAGGACGTGCCAGGGGCATGCATGAGAGCGAACGGGTGAGAGAGAGAGAGAGAGAGAGAGTGAGGGAGCGAGGGAGAGAGAGAGAGAGAGAGAGAGAGAGTGAGGGAGCGAGCGAGAGAGAGAGAAAGAGAGAGAGAGAGAGAGAGAGAGAGAGAGAGAGAGAGAGAGAGAGAGAGAGTGAGGGAGCGAGAGAGAGAGAGAGAGAGAGAGAGAGAGAGAGGGAGCGAGAGAGAGAGAGAGTGAGGGAGCGAGAGAGAGAGAGAATGCATGTGTGAATGTCTGAAATCTCTAAGCAATAATCATAGTAAAATGTTTTAATATTTCAGGTTCACTGTAACAGTGATGTAAAGAAATGTACAGGGGACTTTAAAAACGGCATTACTGAAGAGTTTTTTTTCCACTTTTTTTGCTTTGTGTTACAGTGGCTTCTTATTTTGTTTGATAGTTTTTTTATGGTTCAGTTTATAATACCCAATAAACAATGCTGAACCGCTGCATGTTGTGTTGATGTGTAAATTTTTATGTTTAATAAAAAAGTAACTGCACACTTTACAGATTAATTATAAAATTCTGGGTGATGATCTGTCAGAATATACGGCTCTACAGTGAACTGGGCGGAGCCCCAGAGCTTTGCGTGTCCAGCCAACGTATCTCCCAATCTGCACCACTACAGAGCGGAGAAGGAAAAGGGTTTCTTTGCTTGTAAATTTCCACCAGGAGCATGATGGGAAATAAACTCAAAACTCTAATTGCAGTTATGCAAACAGTCACCTTGCAAGACCCCCAGTCTTTGCAAAAATCACAGTTTGTGACTAAAACTCTGTGACACTGTCTTTAGATGTGAGAGAGTGTCAGACTTTAGTCTTTCAAAAGTCTTTTCAGAGTCTTTTCTAAGTCTTCTAGTGTAAAGTCAGCATTAGTCAGGTGTGGAACAGCTTTGGCTAAACTGGATGAAAACAAATGGCAAAATAAATCATGTGTAAAACACAGATTCTAAACCCTGAACAACAACAAAAAACTATTTTAGCCTGTGATGTTCAACAAACCCAGTTTAAAAAAGAGAGAATAAGGAAAGACTGGAGTAAGGAGATGTGTAGAACAGGAAACGTGGAGGGTTAGAGAGAGAGAGAGATTGATGCAAAGAAAGGAAGAAAGAGTGAAATAGGGAAAGAGGGAAAGAGAGGGAGAGAGAGAGAGGGAAAGAGGGAAAGAGAGAGAGAGAGAGAGAGAGAGAGAGAGAGAGCGAGAGAGAGAGAGAGAGAGGTGGAGTGCGTGAGCGCAGCAGGAAATGTTTACTGGGACGTGTTTCTCTGCGGCGACGCAATTAGAGCCCGAGAGAGCGAACAAGGGCTCATTGAGGAGCTGCGAGACCCTCCCTCTGTTTGTGTGGCCTGTAAGACTGAGAGCACTGAGAGACCCTCATGTTTATTAATGAAGGAGGAGGAGAGTTTACTGTAGCAACCGTGTGTCAGAGACCGAATTAACAGAGCGAGAAAAGGAGGGCATTAGAACCCAGCATACTAAATCAAACACGGAGAGAAAAGAGAAAAAAAAGAAAGAAGGAGAAAACAGTGAAAAGGAAACGAAAACAAAAGGAAGAAAGAAAAAAAACAGGACAAAGACAACAGCCTATTAAAGGGTAAACATGGTGCTGAGTGGATGGAAAGAAAAGAATAAGAAAAAAGAAAGAAAGAAAGAGTCACTGATAATGTCTATTAAAAGCTAAATAGGGGGCTGAGAAGACAAAAAAATGTAAGAAAGGAAAAAAGAAAGTTGTCAAAAGAATAAACAGGGTACTAAAAAAAGAAAGAAAGAAAGAAAGAAAGAAAGAAAGAAATAAAGAAAGAAAGAAAGGAAAAAAGAAAAGAAAGAGTCAATCTACTTAAGTCCAAACAGGGCACTGAGAAGAAAGAAAGAAAGAAGAAAGAAAGAAAGAAAGAAAGAGAGAAAGAAAGCAAGAAAGCAAGCAAGAAAGAAAGAAAACAAGAAAGAAAAAAAGAAAAGAAAAAAGAAGAGTCCATCTACTGAAGTCCAAACAAGGTGCTGAGAAAAAAGAAAAAAAAGAAAGAAAACAAAGAAAACAAAAGAAAGAGTCAATCTATTCAAGTCCAAACAGGGCACTGAAAAGAAAGAAAGAAAGAAAAGAAAGACAGAAAGAGAGAAAGAAAAGAAAGGAAAAGAAAAGAAAAGAAAAGAAAAGAAAAGAAAAGAAAAAAGGAAAGAAAGAGTCAGTCTACTGAAGTTCAAACAGGGCACTGAGAGAAAAGAAAGAAAAAGGAAAAGGAGGAAAAGAAAGTCAATGATAATGTTTATTGTCCAGATGTCCAAACAGGGCTCTGAGGACAGTGAAGAACGAGGTGTTTCAGTGTGAGGTGCGCAGCGTCTCATGCGTGAACAGCAGCAGGACACGACCGGTCAGCACTCGACTGACCAGCAGGTAAACATGAGACAGGCATTTGAGAGAACGCAAAAAGACCAAGACACGCAATAAACATGATGAGACTGACATATACAGCACTGAAAAGACAAGAAAGAAAGAAAGAAAGAAAGAAAGAAAGACAGAGAACCAGAAAAGAAAGACAGTATGAAGAAAGAGAGGAGCTGACAGTAATGTGCCTATAAAGGTCACACAGCACCGACTGAAACCCGCAGGTGTGCAGGTGAGTGTAGAGACGCTTTGATCTGCCTTGTTTGAGCACATTCACCTCCGAAATCAGTGTCTCTCACACACACACACACACACACACACACACACACACACACACACACCCACACACACAAACACACTCCTGAGCTGCTCTGTGTGCTGCAGTGGGCGGGTAGTGAGCAGCTGATTGACAGGAAGGAGGAAAGTAAAGCATCAAAGTCATGACAGAGCCTCCCTCTGCCATCACACTCGCTCTCTGACTGCCAGCCGGAGCCTCGTTACACCTCCTTTGAAAAGCGCTGACCAACAGAGCAGGACACTCTGGAGCAGCTACACATCAGGGTAGGCCACCATGTCCAGTGTCAAACAGCGGCCAGAGGGGTATACAGCATTATGACTTTAAAGGCCACGTTGTGCAAACCAAGCAGGAGAAGTAGAAAAACATCTGTTTGTCTCTGTGATTATTTACTTATAAATAGCTAAATAAATAAGAACCGTTAATAATACGGTAATGAATGTAATATATGAAATAAATAAATAAATACATTTGATGTTGACTAAATCAGAACAATCTAATACAGAATAATAACTAATTAATAATAATTGAAACAATAAATACAGTAATAAAAAATATAATTATATTACATATATACATATATCTATATCTATCTATCTATATATACATTCTCTCTCTCTCTCTCTCTCTCTATATATATATATATATTTATATATGTGTGTGTGCGTGCGTGTGTGTATATATATACAATATATATATATATATATACATATATCTATATATGTATATATATATATATATTTATTCATATATACATATATAGATAAATATATATATACACGTGTGAGGGGAAAGTGTTCACAGACATTACTGTACTTCTGCTCAAAGGAATCAACCAAACAGTAAGTAACTGATCAGAGTCCTGAGCTGCTGATAGAGCTGCGTGTGGTGGGTCTGACTGGACAGGCCTGTATGTATATGTAACAGGCTGGACCGAACCTGGGTCAGCTGTGGGTAGAGCGCCTAAGCTCAAAGAGCTAAGATACAGCAGTGTAGCTGATCCAGGATCGGCCGATCGGGAGCAGCGAGGCTGCGTGTGGCTCGTCTGGCACTGTGGGTTTGCACAGCTATAATTATGCTTGCCAGTAAGCTGGGTGGTACACGCCCTGAAATAGCCCTGAGGCCATCGGCGGCGGCGAGACGACGCATTCCTGTGTGACAGGCAGACGAGGAGACTGCTGTGGGCGCTCCGACCACACACACACACCTCACCTTTAACACACACACACACTCAAGCGAGCTCGAAAAATATCAGGTTCAAACTGGGAAAAAGACCCACCCCCTTCTTGTTTAGAAGGGGTCTGTGGTGCGACTGTCTGTGTGGATCTAATCTCTCGTTATTTACAGCGCGGCACTAATGCTCGGAGAGGCTGCTCTCTGAGCAAAAGCGGGGAGAGAGAGAGGATAGAGGGGGACTTGCTTTGCCAGAACAGGGAATTGGGGATAAATCTGCCGATATTATCTCTAGCAGAGCCGCCAAATAGGACTGGAAAAAAGTACCAGAGTAAACGGGAGACGAGGGGAAAGGTTCTATAGATTAATTCTGCTGACGCACATACATTCATCCTGCTCCACACTTACTTTGCTGTGGATTCCTCATCATACTTGGTCTTCAGGTCAAATAGCTCTGCCTGAGTTGTTTCAAGTACTGCAAAAATAAATAAACAAATAAAGAAATAAATAAACCCATTTTACACACATAAGGTTAACAAAACAACAACAACACAAAAAGGTAACTCCAGGTGGACAGTCCAGCAACTTTTCATCCACCTGCATAATTCCTTTTAATGGTGAGTCGTACAGCTCTAGAAAATGCAGCAGGCCTTCTCACCCACCCACAGGAACGCTGCCTTTGGAAGACTACGCTATAATAGTGTTGTAGGAGCGTGAATATTCAGCATATGGCTGCACAATTAATGTGTCAGTGTTTAGACCATCATAATTAGTCATAATTAGTAAAATGCTGCAATTTATCTGAGTACAGCTCCTGAATTAACATCAGTCATAGTTCCTGTAAAGTGTGCTGTCATCATGCACTAAAATGCAATATAATATAGCAACTAATAAACACAATTTGAGAGAACAAAGCAAAAGTGGGACATTTCTTGATGGACACACCAATTGTGTGTCTTAATTCAGGCACTGTATACACTAGACGACAAAGAGAGTAACACTCATAACGAGTTTAGGCTATGAACCAGAACTCAAACTCCCAGAACTCCTCAGATCACATGGCACAAACAGAGCTGAACTCACTGGACCTGTTTGGGCTGTTGTGCACAGCGAAAGTGCAAACTGGGGATTAATACGGGGCTGAGAAATGCTGACATCAGTGAGAGCTGGAGAATATTTCACTACAAACTGGCGGCTGAGCTGAAACTGTAAAGACAGTGACGTGATGACTGGATCAACATTATAATCATGATATCGACTCTTCTCTGCCTGTGTTTTACACGCAGCTCCTCGGTCTCAGCGCTTCGCTGTTCAGGCACTGTTCATGCGCCTCTTTTCGCCTGTTTCTCCACTCTTCTAGCTTTCTGACTGGCTGTTGTTTGAATCACTCGTTGAGTAAATCTCTGAATGTTTCGGGTCGTAAATATCAAACATTTTTGATAATATCGGAGGGAAACCGATCAATTCGGAGTTTGATCTGAGGGCTAAACATTCACTCGTTTCTCCGCTCACACTACAGATCATCCACGCCAACATCGATCGAGCTCCAATCGAGTTTCCCACCTGGAAAATCGCTTCAGATCTGGGTTAAAATTGGGCAAAAAGATTGTGTAGTGTAGGCCCGGCCTAAGAGAGCAAACATAATTAATGCTATACACAAAACTAAACAATTAAATTTTTAATTAATAATTATATTTTATCCTTCATTTGAAAGCATTTTAGTAACACACACACACACACAAATTTTCTAAATTGCTTATCCTTCTGGGTCGCAGGGGAGCTGGAGCCTATCCCAGCAGTCAATCGGCGGAAGGTAGGATACACCCTGGACCGGTCGCCAGTTCATCCATTCATTGTAAAGGTTTGATTGGAAACGTGTTCAATCTTAACAGAAAATGATCCTATCAGGACTGTGTTCTCTGTGGTTTCTACACAGAAACAGCCAAGTGAGCTACTGGTGAGGACTTCAGGAGCTGAACTGAAGGCCTTACACGTTAGATTAACTACCAACACAATTCAGACGTGACAGTAAATCATCCAATCATGTTTTGATTTACAATGAGACCAACTTTGCGAGGAACAAAGGTCACTCTAGGCCTTCTGGAAGTTCTAGATATGTCACTGACTGAACATAAGCTCAGCCTAACCAGGTTTCAGTCAGTTGTTAGGAATGGAAAACAGCAGCGGAAGCTGTATGCTAATATATACAAATAACATTAAAATATATGTTAATGTCTGTTACAAGTTTCAAATAAAAATCTGGAAAGCCATTTAGACACTTCAAATATCTGTGTTTAACTGAGAAAGAACAATATGTTCATGTGCATGAGTGTTAGGTTACGCTAACAAGTTAGAACTCCAACAGCAGAAATTGGCATTATTGTAGAGGCGTTCTAAATATATGACCTAAACTGAAGGCCTAACTGTGATACTGAAACAGTTCACAATCGCAAAATGCTCCTATGCAGTTGCAAAATGGAAATAAAGGCACTTGATTCATATTTGAAATCTCAAACTGCATCCAACTCCTGGCTCCACCTATTCCTGTACGAATGGCAGCCCTTAGAGCGATTAGTCATGATAGTTACATGCTGTTGGAACAAAAACTTGTACCACCATTTCAGTCACTGGCATGTTTTTATATTATCTGTCTGAATTTAATAATGAATGATGGTACTATAAAAATGCTCCTAAATGACTAATAAAATCTCTTGACATTAACTTAAAGAACGTTTTTCTCTCTCCTGCACATTTACTGCACATTGTTCCGACGGAGCCGTTTTGGCTTCGGTCACTCAAGGAGCAATGCAGCCTGAAGCATCTCCGTCCCACTTTTGCTGGACTCATCCTATAATATCCGTTAAATCAACTGTTTTTGAAATAAAACGTGAAACAATCGTGGAACACCAGTAGACTTTTACCTGTCTGTAGGTTCTGGGCCTTGTGCTCCGCCTCCTCCAGCCGGGAGGCCATGGACTCCTGTGACTCCTGCAACTTCCTGTCACGGGGAAGAGAAGGAAGCAGAAATAAAGTAAGAACAGTGTGATCGGCACGAACAGTAGAAACGGATGAATGAGAGGACAAGAAAGGAGGAACCTAAAATCCCTGAAATGATTATGGTTTAGGTGTGCACTGAAGTGAAGGGGGTGGATTCATATTCAAGTCAAACTCTGTTAAAACGGAGTCGTTCATGTTGCTGGCCGCCTCAAAAATTCCCACCAATTTCATGCGACGGGCTAAAAATCTTCCATGCAATATTAAATAAAGTGGCCCATTAGGGAGGGCCGTCTGGCTATTGGAGCGGGGCGGCCTGCTCGGCTCACGCGGCAGAAACGAGAGGGAAAGAGAGAAACTGAGGGATATATTATTTTTAGCAAATAAAGTTAAAGTCTTTCAGGGTGGGGCTGCAGAGCGCGACCGTCTGAGATATTAATAAAGCACAATGAGTCACTTTCTCTCTATCTCCAGCACAAACGCGTGTGCTGAGAGCCATCCACCTCCGTCACCCTCACAGGAAGCATGCTGAGCAGACAGGAAGTGGACTGAATTATGGATGCATGCTGACGCATAGGAAATGCACGAGGAGCAGCAGCACAATTGATCAAATATGGACACTGGCTCTGAATAACAGGGCTTATGCTGACAGTTAAGAAATTTAGACTGCCCTATATGGCCATTTATGGACATATTCTGAGTGACTCTCTCACCCAACTGTCTCTCTAACACACGCACCCCTCCGTTCAAAGGACTTTCTGTCTCCTCAATGCTGGATAAGGACATTTATGACTGCACATACACAGGAATACCCCAGCCTAGAGTTCTATAAAGGGCCAAATAGTCAACATTTTTCATATTTTACTTATTACCCCGAAGCTGTATGTACCACAACAGCCCTAATTCATGAACTATTTTACAACTTCTCTCCATCCATTAGAATTAAACAGGAGAGAACATTACTGGAAACTTAAACTATTTAGTTTATATACTAAAATGTGTGTCTATGAAATGAAATACAACACACACACACCCACACATGTACATAAACATATACGCTGCTGTTGGGACAAAACCTTGTATCCCCATTTTTGTCATTTTTAACATTTTGACGTATTTTGAAAAAGTCACCCCTGCCCTTTATGTTATGCCAAAATGTCAAGATGAATGGACCAACAGAAATTGTCCAAAATTACTTGGAAAATTATATTTCTCTGTTTACTTCCATTAAAATTTAAGAGTGTTTTTCCTTTCCTGTAAAGTTACCTTTTTTGGAGATGCGATACGAGATTATACATATATATATATATATATATATATATATATCAGAATAATCACTGCATTTAAAGTATTTATTAAGGGTCACTCAGTAGTTTCTGAGCTGTATACTTGGATCTGTGCTCAGGGTTCAAAACCTCTTAAGGAGGGCACATCGCTACTTTAAGATAAGACAGTTGCTAAAGCTACATTGCCCCAGTTATTATTATGACATTATTTCGACAGTGTGGTGCTGCACACAAGTAATGTATTTTAATAGTTTTGTAATCACAGATCTTTACAAAAGAGTGCTGAGGAATAAAACAGTGTTATCTATGGATCATTATTTGATCAGGCTTAATCTACACCAATCCTTTAAAATCACTCAATCAGCTCTGATACCGATTTGTCACACCAGATTGAGGTATCCCTACAAACACTACACCCATGTAAGGACTGTCCAGCCCAGAAAAGAGTTACTAGCTGACACCCAACCCAGATGACAGCAGGTGAGCTAATCAGAAGCAGAGTTCTCACTCTTAGTAGGTCGGAGGTCACTGATGCACCCACATTTAGCTCAAATGAGAGCGGACAGAGAGTACGCGTGCGAGAGATCGGCAGAGAGAGATCGGCAGAGATGTAAACAAACAGCAGAATTAGAGCATTAGCGTGGATTACAGATGTGCAGGAGGGGGCTGTGGAGAGTGATATATAAATAAATAAAGCGGGTGCTGGAGACACTCGTCCCAGTTGGCCGTGGCCTAAGTGCTTGTGTAAGCACAGCATACGTTGGCAGCATTAACCCGCGAGCCTGGCCTGCACATAAAAGCCCTGCTAAAGCTTTAATACAGAGCTCTGACTCCAGTGTCACTCACATACAGAACAGGGCCGAGCTGAGGAACTGTCACGCTAAGCACCAGGACTACAGCGATGCATGCACATGTGTTTATGCATCGTCGGGACTATGGATGGACGCGCTGAATCATTTGTTATCTAATTCAGCGAGTATTTCAGGGCTTGAAGGGCTTGGCAGGTCTGTCCCTTCACAATCAGGACACACTTTCAAAATGTTCCTGGGTGCACAGAACCATTAATATAAGACCCAAAGAACATAAAACAACAAGAGCAATTCTAGCGATTTTTCTGTTTTTTTCATAATTGAATTGTTAAGACATAAAGAAAGCCTTTCAGAGACGTCTGATGTGAAATTCTCTGTTCTGATTCAGAACTGTTCACAGTGGTGGTGATAGGAACCAGACGTCCACCTCTAAAAGCTCCCTCACAGGAAGTTATTACATGAAATCACTACAAATATGCTGCTTGATGTCTGAGACATTGTTACAGGCCAGTTTTCGAAGGTTTTGGCCTAAAAGGTACTGCTGTAATTGCATTCTTGGTGGAGAGGTACAGGAGAGGTACTTTAGTCCCCAAAGAAAACTTTGGGTAAACAAAGAAACAAAGACTTTTTCAGATCTACCACTATGTACTGTTATTAACGCTACATATAAACCTCACTGTGACCCCTGGCTCCCATCATCGCCACTGCAAACAAACCCAAGCCAGTAAGTTTCTCTACAATGAATCATTTCACATCAAACCAGTCTGAATGACTTTGTTTATGTCTCATGACTGAATTACAAAGAAATCAGTGGAATTGTCCTTTAATACTGTGGCATGAATAAATACAGGGAAAAATGTAAATACAGGCCTAAATAAAGAGTAGTAATAAGTAGGGATGTCCTCATATGACCTAACATTTTTTAATGTCAATGCTTTTTAATACTGTGTCCTCTAGCTCTGTCATTAGCGGTCAGTTTCTGACCACAGCACTTCTACTGGTTGGAATATAGCTACTGGTTGGCTGAGGATTCTGAATTGAAGTGATATACACTCTTTTTAACCCAGTTGTAGAATTTTACTTTAAGACTGTGGCATGTGCCTGGCCCCTGGGCCCCGATGACGGCCGTGAGAGCCGGCAGGAAGGCAGAGCCCGAACTACAAGCCTAGACGAAACCCTGTGAAGACAACAGGGAGAGGATGAAATCTGCAGGGGAGTAGGGGATGGACACCGCGAGAGCCAGCAGGATGGCAGGACCCAAAGTCCAAGCCAGGTCCCCATGAAGACAGCAGGGAGCGGAAGAAATGTGTGAAATCTGTGAGGAATTGTGCACAAGTCCCAAACCCCGCCTCCTGTTCCACAGCTCCTGCTGCTCCGCCTCCCCATCACCGCTCCCGTTCCGCAGCTCGTCCGCCAGGGGTCGAACGTGAGGTGTAGTGAAGTGGCCTCACTGTGGAACAGGAGGCGGGGTTTGGGACTCGTGCACCATTCCTCACTTCCTCTCAGATTTCTTCTGCTCCCCACTGTAGTCGTGGGGGCCTGGCTCGGACTTCGGGCCCTGCCTTCCTGCCGGCTCTCACGGTCGTGATCGGGGCCCAGAGGACGGGTACATGCCACGAAGACATTTTCAACCATTGTAGGACTTTATATTTATTTAAATCCATTTTAAAACTATATAACCCTCGTTAGAACCACACTGGCACCAAGATTTATTTTAAAGGATCTGTAGTGGATTTAGTAAAAATCATTGGAAAATCGACCCTTGATTATTTCTTTATTATTTATAAGATTTTTATGCTTTTTGATTGTTACTGTGATAAATAATCTGAATCAACAATTTTGTATATCCAGGTTTGCACATCTTAAGCCTGTTTAGTCCGAATTATGGTTCTTCTGACTTAAATATTCTTTTAAGCCCTTTCAGAGAGGATGGAACATTGAGAAGTCACCAACAGGCTGAAATATATTGTGATTTATTAAGATATATGTTTTTTTAACCATCTCACTCAGCCCTGACGTTAATGTACTAAGTGTGCACCGTACAGCAAACTGTACACAATACAAATACTGGATCTGACTCAGTATCATCAGACACTCAGAGACTGGTGGAAAAAAACGTTTCTAGAAATGAAAGCAGAGTAAAGTCGAGAGTGAAGGTGTGGGCAGCGAGGTGTGGGTCAGGGGAACCGCAGCACAGGGACTTCTCACCTCTCTTTCTCTGCATAGTCGTTGTGGAGCTGCTGCTCCTTCTCTTGGGCCAGGTTCTCCGCCTGGTTCTTCAGCGTCTGCTCGTACTCCCGAATCTTCTCCTTAAGTGCTTTTATGGTGACCTCTGCCCAAAAAAACACACACAGGCCAGATCAGTTCTGCTTCATAACTACAGCAGTGAGTCCTGTTAAAGGCCTGGACCTGCAGCATATGTTGACCCCTAGGAGCTTAGCTATGCTTCAGCACCACTGACCAATAAAGGACAACTTTCTACAGTACATCAAATCAGGCTGACATCTGTGATGGGAAAAAACAGGAACCCTAAAAACTCATGCTTAGACAATTCAAAAGGAATATATACACTGGAAAAAGTTCCTACGAAGCGGCTCTATTTTCCACAAACACATGAAAATTTAAGAACAGGGAAAGAAGGAGGGACGGACTGTACCAGGCTAATGAGAAATGAAAGCTCGTAATAGTCCACGAGCTGGGAAAACAGCTTTCTTTTCACTGTGGCCTTGAGTTATTTCCTATTTGAACGGCTGATGACCTGAACGTTCTGCCCAGCTTTAACCAGGCAGGACAAACTGTGTTTCTAAATAATAGAGGTGCTGCACCGAGCCCAGGCCGAAATTCGTCTAATTATGTCTTGATAAAGCTTTTAAAGGCTCATATCCAGCACGGGTGAGTGAACAGTATGTTTAGAAACTAACAATGTTTACATACAAAATCAAAGTCTTCAAAAAGAGCAAGGGTAATTTTTTTTTACACAATATGGGCTTTTTTAAAAAGAGAAAGAGAGAGAGAGAGAGAGAGAGAGAGAGAGAGAAGAAAAGCGAGAGAAAAGGACAGAGATGAAAAAATGAGAGAGGAGGAACAAAGATAGAGAGAAAGAAAAAAGGACAGAGAGAGAGTATGTGTAAGTGGGGACAGAGAAACGAGAGAAAAAAGACAGAAGGACAGAGTGAAAGAAAACAAGAAAAAAGGGAAAAAAAACAGGAGGATGAGAGAGACAGAGAGAAAAAGAAAAAAGGACAGAGAGAGACAGAGAGATTGAAGGCAAGAGAGAGGGACAGAGACAGACAGAAAAGAGAAAAATAAGAGAAGAGGGAAAGAGAAAAACAGATCAAGGAGAGGAGGAGAACAAAGAGAGACAAAGGGGAGAGAGAGAAAGAGAGAAAGAGGCGAGAGAGAAATGAGAGAAAAAGACAGAGAGAGAAGGACAGAGAGAAAGAAAATGGGAGGATGAGAGGGACAGAGAAAATGAAAAAAGGACAGAGAGAGAGACAGAGAGATTGAAGGCAAGGGAGAGGGAGAGAGAAAAATAAAAAAAGGAAAAAAGCGAGGGAGGGAGAAACGAGAGAAAAAGACAGAAGAATAGAGCAAAAAAAACAGGAGAAAGAAAAAGGAAAGAAAAACAGAAGGAGGTTGAGAGAGAGAGAAAAAGAAAAAAGGAGGGAGAGACAGCGAAACTGAAGGCAAGAGAGATGGAGATATGAGAAAAGAAGAAAGCAAAAGAAGAGGGAGAGAGAAAAACAGAAAAAGGAGAGGTAAGGAGAAAAAGAGATACAGATATAAATAAGAAAAGGGACAGAAAGTGAGAGAGAGTAAGAGGGGAGAGAGAAACAAGAGAAAAAGACAGAGAGAAAGAAAAAGAGAAACAGAAAGAGAAAGAAAAAGAAAACGTGAGAAAGAAAAAGAGAAACAGAAAGAGAGAAAGAAAACGTGAGAAAGAAAGAAAAAGAGAAACAAAGAGAAAGATAGAAAGAAAAAGAAAACGTGAGAAAGCAAGAGAAACAGAAAAAGAGAAAGAAAAAGAAAATGTGAGAAAGAGAAAGAAAAGAGAGAGCAACAGAAAGAGAAAGAAAGAGAGAGATTAAGCTGTGAGATGTCAGAGATTATGGGGTAAAATAAGACGTATAAAAAAGGTTCTTTCCTGCATTCAGACTGAATGAGACGAAGACCCTCTGGTCGGGGGGCTCAGTGTAAGAGCGAGAGTCAATATCTCGCTGTGTCTCAGACGGAGACGCTCACTGACTCTGACTGAGTGCTCAGAAAGGTGTCTGAGAGTCTCAGTGAGGAGATGAAATATGTATGTGTGAGACAGTAAAGCTCATAGTCTCTGACTTAAGCGCTCAGAGATCCGAGCGCAAGCGTGTGTGTGTTACACACAAGCAGGTGGGAGAGTGTGTGTGTGTGTGTGTGTGTGTGTGTGTGTGTGTGTGTGTGTGTGTGTATTACACATAAGCGGGCGCGAGTGTGTGCATGTGTGATTTAAACTGCCGGCTTGCGGGTCTGACACATAATCAATGGGAGCAGGTCCCTTCGGAGGCCTTTTCCCCCTTAACTGCTAAATTGAACTTTAAACATTTAGGTTGGGAGGGATCAATGGCCTCTACTGGGAAGAGCACGGGGGTCCGAGAGAGAGAGAGGGAGGGGAGGGAGGGGGAGAGAGAGAGGGAAAGCGAGGGAAGGCTGCTGGGGTTAAAACATCTTCTTACTGCATAATCCAGTCAGCACTTCTGATGGAGAGGGAGAGATTATTTAATAAAAGGACCGAAGATAATGCAGCCACTACTGAACGACTCTAATTAAACTCACAAATTAAGTTCCCTCAACTCACAACCCCCCTTAAAGGGCCGGTACCATGGGAAATCGAACCTCCCCCGATTTAAATAAAGGAGTTACGTAAACACAGAGTCAAAATGTAGTGTTTACAGCCACATATGAAGACTAAGCTGTAAAAACAGCCCGTTTTGAATGCGTTATTTGTGATGTCACAAAAATCGACTCATTTACATACATCCACCTATTCAGCCTACAACAGTTTAGCTCCGCCCATTCACGTTGTAAGGAGTGTCTCAGAGTGCTTTCTGAACGAGACACAGCAAATCAGAACATATTTATTAAGTTAATTTATCTTTTGTTAGTCTTAAAGACTCAATAACAAAACCAGCCTGTTTAATTCTTTTTGTTTAAGGTTGGAAAACAGTCTAAGGAGCACTTAGACTGTAATAAAACCACCAAAACGTCATAAATGGACCTCAAGAGAAAAAGTAAAATACAAGAAAAATATAGGATATGGGCCATTTGACCACCCAGGAGAAAATAGGGTGGATTTTAAGTCACAGGCCAGTTTTCTTTTACTCTCCAATCATATTTTATTGTGTTTACTTATTACTTTTTATTTAGATTTCTGTTGTAAAGCACTTTTACATTTCTTTAAACCTTTTTAAGCTCAATAAAGTTTATTACTATGCAATTTTTACACTCACTGGCCACTTTGCCCCATTCATCAATGGTCAGGACCACCACAGGACCACCCCACCACATGTATTATAAATTATTATTTAGGTTGTGTTGAGTTTCTGAACATCTCAGTATCACTGCTGGACTGAGGATGATCCACAACCATAAAGTATCTTGAAGCTAGAAACTGACCACTGAGGAAGGACTAGAGGACTGCTCAGCAGATGAGCTATCGTCTCTGACTTGACATCTACGAGGTGGTCCAACCACGTAGGAGTGTCTAATAGAGTGGACACAGTGTTTAAAAACTGATCCACTCAGTGCAACACACACTAACACACCACCACCACGTCAGTGTTACTGCAGTGCTGAGGATGATTCACCACCCATGTAATACGTGCTCTGTGGTGGTCCTGACCACTGATGAACGAAGTAAAGCTGGGCTAACAAACTGCACAGATAGACATTGTGAAGTGCCGCTAAGTGGTATGTGGAGCTAATAAACTGGTCAATAAGTGTACCTAATAAAGTGACCAGTGAGTGTAGGTGTGACCGTGCGCTCTCACCCTGGTTCTTGACCTCGGCGAACTCTTTGTTGTAGTCCTCCAGAGTTTCCCGGAGCTTCTGGTTTTCCGTCTCGATGTCGTGCATCCTCTGCACCTTCAGCTGCAGCTGCTGGCCGAGCTCCAACACGGGGACCGGATCTGACCGGGAGACAAAACAAACACACATCACACATGATACCAGCCGCCCAGATGCCTGTTTACACTGTTCAAAAGAACCCAGACTGCTCATCTGATTAGTGAATGCATTTAAGGTGCACACATTACTGTTCAACTGCACAGCTTATATAATCTCCATATAAAGCACTGCCAGTAGGACCGAGCGGCCGCACACCAGCCTGAGGCCACCATCCCTAAAACTGGACTGCGGAGCAGTGGAACTGCATTCTCTGGAGTGATTGAGCTAAATCCAATGCCTTTGGGATCCAGAACTGATCATCCAATATCAGCACCTGACCTCACTAATGCTCTTGTGGCTGAATACATTCAGATCCTCACAGCAATGTTCCAACATCTGTTAAATACCCTCAAATTTCAGAAGAAATGCTAAATGAGCAGCAGCCAGTTGCATTAGCTGAATGTAAGTTCAAACGTAGCCTAGTTTGAATGTAAACTGCCAAAGTTTACGAGCTACGAGAATTTAACTGGTTGCACCAGGTAACATAGTTTCAGCGTAGCTTTTCAACTCCTTGAGACCACCGGTTGGTTCCAAAACGCACTTCGTCATATTCTTTCATATTTCATACGCTACATTCAGAAAGTGGGTGTCATATGAGAGCTGTAACTGTCTTCTCTCCAGTCAAATAGACGGGTGATGTAATTTTAAACCCTTATAATAAAAGAGGCTGAACTTTTTCTATTGAAAGTCGACCCATTTTTCCACAAATCTGGGCTATAAACTATAAACAGGTGGCGTCTCTTCAGTGATCTGCTCTGTACAAATTATTTTTATAACAAAATACAAAGAGCGTCTAAGATTTTTGGCTTTCAGCAGTAAATTGTGAGCATAAAGCAATATGTGTGATCATAAAACATATGTTCTGTTAATTTGAGGGGAGCTTTTACCAAAAAAAAAAATAAAAATAAAATAAAAATTTACATTTATTTCAGGCAGTTACTGAATAATTTGCTTTACGATGTAAATTGAGATGGAAAAAACAAAATACACCCTGGAGAATAAGAGGTTGAGATATGACTTAAAATTTATACATACCCTATATACGTTCTGCTGTAAAAAATCTGTTAAAATGGCTGTGATTTGTGATTTGATCGATGGGAAAACTATCAGAGACAGAAAAGATCACAGACCTCCCAGCCACAGATTTACACAGCACAGACAGGAACAGAGCCCTGAGTCCTACTTTGTGTCTGGCACTGAGATATTTTTCCACAGGATCGTTTCAAAACAGGTGGGCGACTGTGTTCAAGTACACAAGTCAACTACCTGCAGAGAAATAACTGCATCAGCGCTCAGGTTGTGTGATGCTAACTAACAAAGCTAACATTACCCTTTTGTCCTTCAGCTGATTCAAATATGGAAAACGTTAGTCGCAGCTTCGCTAACGTTACCGACTGTTCACTGATAAAGGACCACTAAAATACTGTACATGAGAACCCAGCTTGAACATCAGGAAAAATTCCAGCAGAAGAACAGAATAAACACACGTACAAGAGACGGACGCTTTGAGGACATTATCGTAAAAGGTCTGCGTACCTTCTGTTCATTTGATTTTCATTTTAAAAACCAGTATTGAAAAACGGCAAATGGGTTGATTCTCGTTTCTGATTCTGGTATATTCAGTGGAAAAATCACCAAATAGCTTCGTTTTACAAAATCAAAAAACAAACAACCAGCAATGGAATAAAGGGTCGTATCCTAATGATCCAAATTTAGAATTTCCCATCATAAGTGGAAATAAACGCGCAAAGCGCAGGTATTGAAGCTCAGAAATCACAGAAATCAGGCCTGTGGTTCTGGTGTATTGGTCTGCTATATTAATTTGGATAAGCGTTTGTATATTTGACCTGTACAAACTATATGAGAAAGAAATGATATAGGGAAGAAACTGAACTCCCACCATTGGCGGGGACTTCATGCTCGCCAGATCAGCTGCAGATGCGCTTAAGTTCAAGAAGTATTCTGTCAGTGTTGCACCGAACTCCCCTATGCATGCGCGTGCATCATACAGGCATATGGACACTAGATTACATTCTGTCTTTCAGTCACAGTGACCAGTACTGTGGCCTCTTGGTGCAGAAGGAGACTCGGGAGAGACTGTCATGCTTTTTATTGACACCAGCAGAAAAGGCTCATACAGGGCAGCCCGTTCGTAATGAAGGTCACCTCCGCTCCCTCCGCTTCATGGTAGACACTTAACCCAACTAACTAAACACACACCCAGGCATGTGATTCAGGCCATCGTAAAAAAAACCCTCCCAGAAGTGAACTGAACACAGAGTCCTGAGCACAGAGACCCCCAAGGCAGCTCTAACGCACCTCTAAAGCTCCTTTCCCCCCAGACCGGAGCCAACACCGCCGCCACATTATTATAAGAACACTATGAACATAGGACAGCGCACAAGGCGGGAGTCACGTTTTTGCTAATGGAACCAAGTCAATGAACACGCATCAAACGTTACAAAGCCTTGAATAACGGCAGATCTAGGCTGACCTTCTCAACACTCATGCTCGATCTTTCCTGTCCTCATCACTGTTTAACCGCAACTGCCTGATTTCTGAGCTTCTGCGACCATGGGTGCACTCTGCACCTTTATTTCTGCTTAATTCAAATCAGTAAAATCGACGCCTTATTCCATTGCTGTTTGTTGAAACACGAGACCCATATTCCCGTCTTTCAATACTAGATTTTAAAATGAAAATCAAATGAACAGAAGGTACACGGACCGTAAAACATAGTCTCTTTTTGAATTATAGCTAATACAACTGACACATCTTAAGCGAAGTAAATGTGACACGGAAAGAGAAAAATGTGAGTGATTTCACTGCGTGTTGAGATCATATGTGTAACGTTTCCTGTTTATGTCGGACAACGTCACTGATTGGCTGTGGAGTAAATACATCGTTCTGTGACAGTGTTTTGATCTGCGATCACTTTACGCTCTACTAGTTAAGATGTACCGTGGGGGTCTGTGGTGCAACCGAAATTCTCTGTGTTGCTAGTTTTAAACTAACTACTCTCAACGTGAGGTTTTGGATGGACTTTACACCCCAACTTACGATCGAACTTATGCTCAGCTGGTGCAACAGGCTGCAGGTGTCTACGAACATTTGGACACACCGAGTATAAACACTGACACTGTATCTGTTCGTGGCTTGTCAAGGTTGCTCTGTTTGTTCTCACACTAAAATAAATACACACCATACACACAAACAGCATCTCTGCCTCCAAGACCCTGATAACCACACTGAGCTCCAAACCAATCCCTCACAGTCCTTTAAACGTTATAACCGTCAGTTTAAAAGGAACGAGCCCAACTATTACTCCCTGGAGACGGAAATGATTAAACTATTGACGAAAATACTAAAATATTAATAACGGAGTGTTGTGCTGCTGCTGGGAACGGCCTCAGGGCTAATTACAGGATGTTCTTGATCATCTTGCTGCTGCTCGACAGCTCGCTATCCGAGCGTCTCTGCAGAAAGACGGACGCGGAGAACAGCGCTGGGGGTCACGCTCAAGATCCATGAGCCGTCTAAAGGGTATTTGGTTGAATGTTAGTTAAAAATAAGCTGGGCGTCTACAGAGCATCTACAGTGGAATCTCAAAATAGGGAAGTATCGGTCATTTTTAACGGTCAGTTTCTTTAGAGACTGTTCAAACCTTTTTTCAAAGCTCAAACTGCACAACCTAAATGGCGCTGCATTAAGGTTTTAAAAATGATGGTTCTTCAGGGGTTCTTTAGTAAAGAAAATGGTTCTATATAGAACCATAAACAAAAAGAACCCTCTGGATGATTAAAAGGGTTCTTTGAATCATGAAAGAGTTGATAGAGAATGTGCTGTAGATGGTTCTACATAGCACCTTTTTGAAAAAGCGTTCTATATAGCACCAAAAAGGTTTCTTCTACTGTAACAAGCCTGACATAAGGGGGTTCTTTGCATCATGAAAGGGTTCTTCAAATTGATGGAGAATGTGCTGTAGATGGTTCTATATAGAACCTTTGTGACATCACAACAATAGAAGAACCCTTATTGACGCTATATAGAACCCTTTTCAAAAGGTTCTATATATAGAACCATCTACAGCACATTGTCCATCTAGCTGAAGATCTCTTTCATGTCCTTTAATCATGCAATGGGTTCTTTGAGTGCTCATGGTTACATATAGAACCATTTTCTTCGCTAAAGAACTCTTGAAGAACCATCATTTTTAAGTGTGTACATTAATTTTGTTTAGCAGCAGGCAAAAAAGAATAAGCACTGGAATGAGCAGCTGTTTAAACAGATAACTGGCTACTGCAACTCTAGTGCAACTCAAGTGCAATTTAGTTTCATGTAAGTTTCAAGCAACTGAAGTTGCGTGTAAGTTTCTCAGTGTAAAGCCAGCCTGAGGAAGTTTAAATAACGTGCTTTGAGAACTCCGTGTGTGTTTGAAGGTCAGTGGGCTGGCAGTGAGGTGGTCATCCATCTGTTTCCTTCTCTCTCACACACACACGCACAACAGCTGATGACGGAGAGGGCGACTAGAGAGGCCCAAGGGCATGCTGGGTATTCTCTGATGAGGAGCCTGATTTGTTAGAGTGAATCAAGGCCACAGCAAACACACACACACACACACACACACACACACACACACACACAGGACAAAGAAATTCACACTGAGGGAAACAGTTAAACAAACACGCTGAACACAAACGAAGCACATGATCGGCCTCGCACGCTCACACACACTGAGCGCAGCGGGAGGGAGACGGAGTGTGTGTGCAGGCGGAGGGGACGGAGGGGACGGAGGGAGCGCTGTGACTAATTGCTGGTGTTGTGGTGCAGAAACAGCAGAGCTAAGTTTAGCTGCTCCACTGTGAGCTCTGATAGTGCTGACACCGCAGAGAGAGAGAGAGAGAGAGGATAAAGAGACCAACAGAGAGACAGAGAAAGAGAGAGAGAGAAAGGGAGACAGAGA